TCACAAACAAGTTGAAAGTCAGTGTCCTGATCCCTGGTTTAGGCTCCGGCTTCGCACAGACCGAAAAAGTACTTGTTGTCAGCCTGCAGCCGCAAGTGTACCCTGCACACTTCTGATGCTGGCAGTCAAGGCTGATGTCCTCAGGATGAACAGCAGTGCAGGTTAAAATTAAAACTGAAGAGCTGTTTATTGAGGGCAGAGATAAAGGAAGTGTGTTCCCTGTCAGAAAGTAGAGTATCACACTTGAAATAGTTCATGGACGGCCAGAAAAGACAGAGATCATCCAGTTGTGTGTCTAACATGTTCTTAAAACATGGCCATGCTTTTAATAGGAAATGTTGGTAAAGTTGACCACTTCCCTCTAGTATCGCTTTACTGTTCTCCCAGATATGCGGAGCCGTACTGCAGTCTGTGCTCGTATTTTTCCAATGAGATCACTGATGTAAACATCCCAGCAGAGCTGTGTGAGCAGACAATACTGCTAAATACTATACTATTGAGCTCATGCTCATATGTCAGCAGAATGAAAGTTCAGTACTGAGCAGACCAACTATTCCTTTCGCCTGTTTTTGGAATATTTTGTGGTATCCATAGCTTGAGGATTACACATTGCTATGGCAAGAAATTGCACATTATATATGCATGTGCACTCTCAGCCCTGATACTGCTTACTGGTAGAAAAAGCAAAGGCATTTTTATGTACACCCAACATCCTTTCAAATAAGAAAATGTCCACTTTTTACAGAAAATTTTGAAAGCTCCTAGCTCTTAGAAGCAGTCAGGGATCTAGGTAAACTTCAAAAATGAAACTGCTAGATGGACAAAAATACCCATTTACTGTTTACTATGTACCTGATTTAGGTACTTTCCACATAATTCAGATGATAAGGTGAAACCCCAAAACCGATGTTCTTTTCCCTGTAAACAGGTAATAGTGGTGAGTTTCCAGCAATAAGTGCTGATTAGATTTTCATGCTATCGTTTTTTGAAATTGAAGTTATTGAAAGTATTTTGGCCTTGTAGCTCGCAGGAGGCTGTAGCTCGCAGGAGGCTCTCTGCCATTGTTTTCAGCATATAGCAAGTGCTACATGTTTCTTGTTTTAAATTTCTACCAGTAGTTTCAATGTATGATTCATAGGATAAGTATGTACTACTAATAGGAGAATGAAACGTTTTTAGGTTTGTGGGGTTTTTTTTTGTTTTTGTTTTTGTTTTGACAGAGTCTATGTAACCCAGCCTGGCCTTGAGCTCACTATGTAAATCTGCCTGGCCTCAAACTCTTGGCAGTCCGTCTGCCACAGACTCCCATGTGCTGGCATTACACTGTCACACCATGCCCGGGAGAAGATTAAAAGTTTCAAGGGAAGATAATATAGTGCTTGCCTAGTATGATACCACCAAAAAAAAAATTCAGGATGCAGAAAAGTGACAAGCTTGGGGCCGGGGAGATGGCTCAGTGGAATAAGCACTTTCCTGGCAAGCTCAAGGGCCTGAGTTGATCCCAGGTTCTGTACAAAAAAAAGAAAACAAAAAAGTAACAAGCTTGCACTTGTTACAGAAGATACAAAGTTAGCTAATGGGTTTATTGGCATTTACTGTTACTTTTCATAAAAGGTATGTGTTTTGTATTGAATATATGTCAGCTTCTAAAACTGAGAAGGAACATAATAGAATATGGCCATAAATTGGGAAGCATACCACTTTTTTCCCCCTGTATTGGAGGTCAAACCAGGGAGCAATCTATCACTGAGCTACATCCCTAACTCTGAGATGGGGTCTTGCTCAGTTGTCACCTCCTCCTATCATCATTTCATATACAGCAGTCTTAATCACCAGACACACTGTGTCTAAGGTTATGTTCACCATGACAAGATGACATCATGGAGCAGATGATGCAGCAGTTTCACTGGAGCTGTAAGTGGCCTTCAAGGTGCCTCCCAGCAGTGATGCTGATCGTGCTATAGGTAGTACTTGGATGAGATCTAAGTCCCTGGTTCTTTTATTTTTTTGCGGGACTGGGAGTTGAACTCAGGCCCTTGCGCTTGCCAGGCAAGTGCTTATTCT